CCTGTGGGGAGCATTGACCCAGCTGAAAATCTACTGCCTCCCCGCCAGCCTAGCAGTGAGACAGCAGCTGCTGGCTCAGGGTCGTCGCGCGAGCAGGATCCTCTTTCTTCCCATCCTGGCAGTGGTGTGGGTGTTACGGTGACACGGGCTTTCACCCATGCCGGCGAGAAGGACAGACCTGGCTGCCAGCGGGCTCTTCCCTTTGGTGCTAGCGGGTCACAAAGAAGGCTGCCTGGGGGATGGGGTGAGGGAGTGGAGGCACTCGAGCTGTTTGCAGCAGCCCTGGTGTTTTCCACCCAAAGCGCGCATGGGGGTGCTGTGACCTTCTCGGAAATAGCTGATGGCTGGTCTCACCTCGCCCCTGCCATCCGTGGCATGACTGTTCTTGGTGCCATGCTCTTCATAATTGCTGTTGTGTTGTCTTGAATTTTTCTAATGCTGGGGGCTGTCCCTGCTCTCCAAGCATATATATATATACATGTACAGAATAAAGTTGTTTTATCGAGCTGGCTGGCTGCGTTGTACAACGAGCGAGGGTGGAGCTGGGCTCTTGCCCTGCTGCCCTCGCAGCTGGGTCACGGTTGGAGGTGGTTGTCCTTCAGCCCTTCCCAAGCTTCCTGCGTTCAGCCCTATAAATACCATGGAAGGAACGCACAGGAACGCACGCGCTGCTGTGTTTACAGCCATGCGCTCCCGGCTTATCTGAGCAAGCCTGGGGTGACAGGCAGCCACGTCACCCTGAGCGCAGCACTTGGGGCTGTTGTGGGCGGAACAGGCTGCGGCGGCTGCTTCCTCGGAGCCACAAATTCCCTCGGAGCCTAATTAAAGGGATGCTTTCTAGGGCACACCTCTAACCAGTGGTTTGTTTTTAAAAATAGCTTCAACCTTATCAGGGGGTTTGTGGCTGCCTTCTCCCCATGAGAACGGGGAGTTCCCTCGGGACAAGCAGAGGCGGAAGGGCTTCCCGGTGGAGGTGACTCGTGTCACTGAAGGGACCTGCCTGGTCTCAGCTTGGTTTTGTGCCAGGTAGTGGCGTCCACTGGGTCCGGTCCTGCCAGACGCTTAGGAAATGAGACGTGGTGCTGTGACAGGAGCATGATGGAACCCACCAGACCGGTTGTTACTTTTCACGTGAGGAATTCAGGAAACGTGTCACTTTGCAGCGTGAAGGCTGTCATTAATGGGAGCGACTCTGTAATTCCTTCCCCTGCCCATTACCAGCAGAGCCGCGTGTACCGGAAGGAGCCTCTTGTGCCCCCCGCAATCTCGCAACAGCTGTGAAGTGCTAGACCCCCGCTGAGCCCAGCGCAGCAGCTGGCCAGCACAGGCTGCCGGCTGGAAGGAGAGTGGCTCAGAAACGAGGGGGAAATGGCATGCGCCAACACGGTGGTACCTCGCGCCGCTGTCGGCTGCCAGACAGGCCCTCCCCCTGCTCGAGGAGGGGAAGCCAGCAGCTGATGAAACTCCCTGCAACACGCATTTCCAACCCCCACCCAGTGCTGGCTTGACGTGGCGCACGGCTTCCTCCTGCCCTGAGCGCCGAGCTGGAGTTGCTGGCAGCAGCCCTGGTTGGAAGAGGCCAGCGGGCTCCAGGCAGTGCAGCATGGGGGTGAGGGCAAGCACCCCTCTTGCCCTGGAGCCGGTCTCGCCCTCTCAGTGCCCACTTGTCCCCTCCACCTCAGCTGCTTTGCAGGTTGCTGTAACTTGCTGCACACTGGGGCAGCCACCCTGGCGAGAACTGTGGCCCCGAGAGTTGAACGAGTCCTTCCGCAGAGTGCCATCAGAACGGGTACCTGTCCTCAAGGCGCGTGTGGTGTCACCCAGAGGCTGGGAAGGAGGGAAAGCACGGTTATACGCTCAGGGGAAAGCTTTCACAGCAGGTCAGGTGACTCCAGCACGTTTCCCATCCCTTTTGCGAGGGCTCTGGCAACCGACTGTTTGTCAGCAGCAGTTACCAGGAGCTGGCTGGTGCTGAGATTTCCAAAAGCCCAACACAAGGTTTGCCCATGCAACTCCAGCTTCCTCAGCTCTTCCCTGGCAGGAGCAGTCTTTCTCATGCGCTCCAGGGGCGGCGAAGCATCACACAACGGGGTGCTATACAAAGGGTCCAGCGGAGGGGCCTGCAGCTGCAGCCAGAGGAGACCACCATAAGGTGAAGGCCTGGTACTAAGTGCCCAGATAGGGGTTCCAGCCTAGGCTTGGCAGGAGATTCCCTGGGATAAGGCACTGTGCTTACACAGAGAATTACTGAGCACTGATGCTACAGAAATAGCCCTGGCAGGAGGCGTAGGTGACAGTACAGCGCAGCTCCCGGTAGCACCGAACTGGCAGAGGCACGCTCGCTGCCACCAGCTGAACTGGGTACTCCAGCATCACGTGCAATTTATGAGTTCCAGTTCCACACTGGGGGGTAGAGATAATTTATTAGACTCATCTGCATTAAAACCTGACAGTATAAAAACTTTCAACTGTATTTAAAAGCACTGATTCTTTAAAAACACTGATTAGCTAAGAACTCCCAGCATGGCTAGGGGTTAAGGAGGTAAACGCTTGAAGAAAAAATCTAAAGTCCTCGTCACGCCTTCTCTGGGTCGTTTTGCACCAGATCCTGCTGGAGCCTTGGGCTTGTTCTTCGGCTTGGCAGGAGATGCAGAAGCTGCAGCCTTTGGGCTGGGAGCTGCTGCTGGAGCAGTGGGTGCGCTGGGCTCCAGGAAGGAGCTCTGCAGCTCCAGAGCAAAGTGGTAGTCCATGTGCTCCGGGAACTCCCACACCAGCACGAGCTGGCCGCACTTCTCGCAGCGCTGGTGGTCCCCCGGCGAGGCGGGAGGGAGCAGGGTGAGCTCAGGAGAGGGTGGCAAGTTCTGTTTGTTTCCCTCGGTAGCTGGCTCTAATGTCAGAGTCCGGGAGCTGGGTGGAGCGGAGGGTGTCTGTGTAGCATCAGCCAGCAACTGCTCACAGGGAAGCCTTTTGTAAGGAGGACTCCCATCTCCAGGACTCCGCTTCACAGGGGACTCTGGGTCACGCCGCACCGGTGCAAGTCCAACGCCATCCCTCTCTGGTGGCTCCGGGGAGCCGGACACAGCTGGCTCCGCAGCGGGCAGGCTGGCTGCCGTTCCTGCTGCCGTTCTGCCACCTTTTGGAAGAAGGACTCAATAGCATTAGCTGGCTTCTGCCTAAGCTCTTTGCTCGGGCTCCTGAAGAACTTCACCCTGGGCCTGTTTTGGCTGGTGGTGGCGGTGCCCTCGGGCTGGGTATCGCTCGTCAGAAAGGCAGCGATGCCTGCAGAGAGGAGCGTGGCAGGCTCCGAGAACTTGCTTGCTGAGAGTAGCACCGATAGGAGTGGTGGAGACCTGCAAAGGACAAAGCAGTACCAGCTCAGACACCGGCCTGGGAAGCAAGAAGTCTTCTGAGGTAAGCCTGAGCAACACAACACGCTCACAGGCAGGGGATGGGAACTGCGGTCTGGGTATCCGGCAAGGGGAGGGGGCGATGTTTACTCTGACAAAATGTTAGCAGTAACTCCAGAACAGTCTCCAGGACATAGCAGGCCATGTTGGGCAAAGCAGAAAACCACTTCCCAGGACAGCATTTCCCAAAGGAAACACGGGACCTGAGCACATCAGTTGTTCTTCCTGCCCCAACAGCCTCCTTCCAAAAAGCACCTTTGTCCTCAGGGGAGGGGAGCAAGGCCTTCTCCAGCCCACCGGACAAGGACTGCCTCACTCCAGCCAGCCAACCCCCTGCCAGCAGCAATCATCAGCTCCACGTACAAGTAAGAAGTGTCTCCCCAGATGTGGGTAGGAAGAGGCCAGGCTCCCACAGCTGTTCCACCACCGTGAGTGCGCTGGGGATTGCTGCCAGGCGGCCTGACTCGTTCCTTTCTGTCAGGTCCCTGCACCTCCCGCAGCAGAATCTCCCCTGCCAGGACAGGAACCCCCTCCTCCCCCACTCACCAGGCCGCCTGGTGAGCCCCAGCCACGTTGCAGCTTTGGATGAGGGCAAAGGCATCGCTGCACATCTTCTGGGCGTCGTAGCGGGACAGAGCGCAGAAGCGCGACACCCGGGTGTCCCCCTGCATGCGGATGACCACCATCAGCTGCTTGGCCACTCGGTGGTTCTGCAGAGAGGAGAGGGAGCTATGTTTGAAGGGACAGCTGCAGGGAAGAACAGGAAAGGCTGAGGAGGCTGTCTCACTGCCCAGAACCCTGTACCGTCAGCTACCGCCTCCCGATGATGCCGAGTGACAGATAGCAGCTTGTCCTGCCTGGCCTGATCTCCAAGGGATGAGATCCAGGGCAGCAAGTGCTTGTACAGCTGTGCTATGCAGGATGGGAAGCAGTTATTCCTTGCCTTCCTCCAAAAGCAGCTGTGCCCTTTCTCCTGCCCCGCCACAGCGCTGAAGCCAGCCGATTACTCTCAGCCTGGCCTGCAGCCTGCCATCTGAGCCGCAGCGTATCACTCCCTCTCAGCCTGCACCACAAGCAGAGCTGCGTCAGCAAAGGGCTTGAGAGGGAGCAGCGGCGCAGCAGGATGAAGGCGCGGTGGCTTTCAGGTCCCTGCATCCTAAAGCACAGGACAAGGACAGTCCCTAGCCCTGCAGTGTTCTGGGGCAAAGCCATCCTTCCCGGTGGGCTCCTGCACACCTCCCTGCTTGGGCCCTCTGCTGAGGGTGAGCAGCTTTCCTCACACACCACCCTCAGCCTCCTGCCAACAGCTCACGGTGCAAATGTGCTGCGTGGCTTCCTGAAGGCCAAGGACAGAATGCTGTTCCCCTGCCTTCCCTCCTTACCTGGCTCCTGTCCTTGATCAGTCTGGATTCCAGCTCCAAGGCCAGCTGCAGGAGCCAGTGCTGCACCTGGACAGAACAGCAGTAACAGACAGGTCGGACCTCTGCTCACAGCACTGCCACCAGGCCAGAGCGACGCTCCGGAGAACACCGGAGCGAGATCAGACTGGAATGGACGCAGACTATCACAAGGCCCCGTATCCGGAGTACTGCTGGAGAAATCAGCCCGGGTGAAGATGCAGCGCCCGAGGTGAGGCCTTGCAGAGCCCAACACGAGTCCTGCAGCGTTACTGCTAGGCTCTGTGGGGTAACCTGGGTCCCCTGCCCTGGATCTCCCTTTGCATCTCCCTCTACTCCATGGGAACCTCCCCCCAGCTAACAGGTCAGGAGCATCCTCTCCTTCTCTCTGTGGGCTAGTTACCTTACTTCTAGCAGCCAAGCCCTTGAAGCTTGGCACCACAAATACCTTTTAAACAGCACAGGCCTGCGGTTTTGCTCACAGAAGTTACAAGGTTGGACCGCTTTGTGGAGTTTGTCAGTGCATTTCTGTCAAACAGGGATTTCCCTAATTTCTGGGGCCCAAACCACCTCCTCCCACCGAGGGCACTGTGACACAGAGAAGCAGCAGCTTTGCAAGCCAGTCTCAGCTTTTGGCATCCTCATCTTCTCCAGTGCAAAGGCCAAGCCCTGTGCTAGACATAGGCTTCTCCCACCTCCTTCTGCGTGGCCAGGGCTGTCCTCCCAGGGAAGTTCTTGCTGCAGCCGATGGACTGGGGCAGGTACCGGTTTTTGACAGGTTCCTCCTCAATTCCTCTGCATAAGTCGTAGAGCCAGGACCTGAAAGCCAGAGGAAGCATGAAATGACATCAGCCACAGGCAGGCAAGCACCACCGGGCAGCAAGTCAGCCTTCTGCTGAGCCATGGTTTCAGCTCCCTGCAGGCTGTGACTCTGCCCCTCATCCCCAGCACTGCAGCCGCAGCTGTAGCTGAACAGGCGGGCTTCCTCCAGGCCACAGCTGCCTGTCAGCACAACTCCTCCGACTCTTTTCCTGAAGTGCCAACAGTTCTCCAGTCTGCAGGGCACCCCAACCGCTGCTCAGGGCCCAGAAGTGGTGTTTCAGGCTGCAGTGCAGCCTTGTAATTTCCTCTGTAATAAGCCTGCCCGCTTCCCAGCCTGCAGGGAGGCCTTCCACAGCTTGGCCCCATCCTTGGAAGGAAGGAAGAGGAGCTGCCTGACAGGCAACACATTATCCTAGGAGGCTGCCTGGGAGCAGGCAAGGCTGGAAACCTGTTTGTGTGGATTTTTTTGTGTTTATGTTTCTCAAAGATGTCACTAAAGTCCAACCTTCCCAATCCCAGCAGGACAACCTGAGACCGAAGTCCCAGTTCCTGCCAAGAGCAAAGTTGGGGCGAGGGGTTTATCATTACCCAGTTTTGTCTCCGAAGTGAGTTTGGAGCTCTGTCTCACTGAACTGTGTCAGCTCTCCGATGTACTCCACTCCGAGTATGTCTGTGATGGCAGTGCCAAGCTTGCCTCCCAGGTTACGGCTACGGCACAGAAGGAAGGAAAGAGAGAAAACACAAACGAAGCATCGCACAGAAACTATGCCAAGTCTTCTTGCAGCAGCTGTCCCTAGATCAGGACAGCTAAAAGCAGTCAGGAACTAGCAGGACAGAAGGGAACGCTTGGTGCGTTAACACCTCTTCTGCTTGTAGTAGAAGGACATGTAGGAGTTGAAGTGGGAACTGCTCCTTGGCTCACGCAGTTTCAGCGCTTCTCCCTCAGCTCCACCTTCAACATGTGATCCCAAACAATGCTCTGAAGAATGCCTCACACACTCCCTGCCTCCTCCTAGACAGACAAGACCCTTCCCCACACACCCCCCTCTCCATCCCTCATGAGACACTGAAGGCAGAGAGCAGCCAGCAGGTCTGGAGAGCAGGACCAGGGATCCATTCCTCTGGAGCAACGGTGCTGGTAACTCTTCCAAAAAATTGTGCACAGTGCGGATGCTCAGAACCGAACCACATCTGCTCTCTGGGGCAATGCTACGACCTCGTCACCCACAGTTGCTCCTAGCTTACTGCTTTGCACCCCAGCAGTCATCTTGAGCACAGCTCTACCCAGGGAAAGGCTGCCCACGGGATGCTAGTGGGGTCTGTGTATGGTCCCTTGCCTGGCAGAGCTGCAGCTCCCACGCACGCTCCTCCTGAACCATCGCTCGCAGCTGTGAGGGGTTACTGGCAGGATTTCCTCTCCTTTTCTTGCAAGCGTTGATGAGCTGTTACTGCGGAGCTGAAAGCCTTTGCTGGCTGTTAGCAATTAGCATCAAATTGCTCTCCGCTGACATGGCCAGGAAGTTTCCTACTCTCAAGTCACTTTCCTTCTGCTCAGGCAAGCGATTATGACAAACCGACAGGAGCACGCACCACAGCAATGAAGACAAACAGGGCTCTCTTCCTGATAAAAGCCTGGACCGTGAAAGCACGGCACCAGCATTTGGCAAAGGAGCTCTCGCAGGGCGCAGCTCCGCCTGAGCCCCGAGCGGCGCGCCAGCGGCGGTACTCACATGTTGCCGACGGGCAGCTGGCTGAAGAGCTGCGGGACAAATCGCAAAGATACGAGCGTCTGGCGGTTGGGCTTGTTCAACCCACAGGCAAGCTTTGCCAGCGTCTGTAACACAGAAGAGGGTGGAAACTCTGCTATTACAAACGTTGCCAGGACTTTATTGTGACTCTACCTCATGGCCTGTGCTGTGTCGCCTCTAAGAGCTGCCTCCGGAGTAGCGCAAGGAGGGACGTGAAGGTCACACTGCTGCGTGCTCCCAGGCAGCAGCCGCCTTGGGACTTGGTGCGCGCCGGCTGGGGGCCCTGCAAACACTGCTGCTTCTAGCTCTGCAAAGGGGCTGGATTCCTGCTCCAGGCAGCTTAGGGGATCTGGCTCTATCTCCTTGGCTTAGCTTTCCATCCGGCAATCATGCTAGAGCTTCCAGAGCATCCCCACAAACCTCCCCAGGCTATTTCTCTATGTCATGCTCCTGTGTTTGTCTTGCTATTTCTCAATGTCACTATTTTAATCTTCTCTCTGTGAGGCCCACAGCAGCAGAATGCTGCCAGAGGAACGCTGCAAAACACAGAATTGCTAGCATGCAAGTGACGTTCTCTAGTCTCTCTGTTATACAGCTTCCTCTCCCGCCCTCATCTACCACAGGATCGAGAATACACAGACCAGCTTGAAATAACGTTCAGCTGGGTGTTAGGGTTTTTTTTTGAACAAGTCGAATAATTTCCTCTTTCACTGCTTTACCACACATCCTATAACTAAGAAAAATCTCTTTCCTGCCTATATAGCTGCGATCTTTATTAACAGCCTGGTTTACACGCTTGCATGTGTTCTCTTCTCTAGACAAAGCGGATCTCCTTCCTTCAACTTTTCATATCCAGTCATTTTCCAGATATCCAATTATTGTTATTCTTGTTTCACTGAAGACTCTTCCAAGTTTACCCATGCTGTTCATAAAGTGCTGCAAGCTGAACCAATCGCTGCGAATTCATGGGGAGAAACAATTTACATTCTCCTGACACCTCTTCTAAGCTGTACGTGCTGAAGCGGGATCTGCCATTTCTACAAGGAGACCTGTATTACTGACTCATCCTGCTGCTTGTCCACAGTAACTCCAGGGCTACTTTCTGACTTACTGCAACTTGGCCAAAAGCCTGCTGGTTGTTTTTTCCTATAAACCACAAAAACAGTCGGTGAGGAGCATAAGAAGCTCTGCTTGGTGATTTCAGACTGTTTCTGAGTTTCTCCAAGCCCAGAATTTTCAGCTCTAATTTCATCTCCCAGAACTCTGACAGCCCAGGCCCTGAGCCCCATCTCTGCTTAGCATCACCTGAATTCCTACAGTTGTTCCCTCTCCAGCAGCTTCAGTGAAAATTTTGGCTCTTAGCAGACTTCAGACAGATCCCCCTCTAAACATCCCAATTTGAGTGCAAGTCACTGAACAAAGTCATGATGGCAAACAGCGAGATTTTCTTCGCTAGAGGCCCTCCAGATAACCTCGTCACATTGCGTTTCGCTAGGGCGTCATCATCAGCTTGCGTGACTCGGGGTGAGATGTCTCAGAAACCTTGGGGCCAACACCTCACATCTGCTGCCTCCCCTGTACGTTAGGCCATTTACGCTGTCAGGGAGGGCACATGAACGAGTTTGGCACGAGTGGTTCTTGACAAAACCGTGCTGTTACCCTCCAGGGGCTTCCAAATAGCTCAGTTATTTGGTCTCATTCATCAGCTGGGTTCCTGGTGTACTCTGAAGAGTGGGCTGACTAGGAAGAGGAGTCCCTCATGAAAGTTTCCTTTAGGAAAAACATGAGCTTAAAGCAGGGAACCTCCACCCTGAGTTTTAGGGCAACCGCAGCTGTAGCCAGGGATTGGTTTTTACCAACACAAATTCCCGGTGACTTGGAGGAAGAAGAGTACCGGTTTGGGGCACTGAATGAGTCGGGTTGCCTCTCCCCTTTCTGGTCAATCGGTCTTTGCCCCCACTGGCCACGCTCTGGGTGATGCTCAGCCAGCTGCTGACAGCAGCCGCCGGAGCACTCAGTGCGTGACAGCAGCTGCAGAAACAAACAGCCTTTGATGCTGCAGCTAAGGAGGGTTTCCTGCTGGGTGAAACGCCGAGAGCCCCTAGAGCTCCTTTCGTTCCTGCAAAAGGGGCTTATCTGTACAGTTACACCTTTGAACATGCAGGCTCTGACTAAAGAAAAGGAAAGGATAAAGATTAAATGGCTGCTCTGGAATTTAAGGAGAATGAATTTAATCTCAGACTGCTGCAGGAACAACTGCAACCAGCAGCAGCTGTACACAGGTGCTGGAGCTAGTTCTGCACCGGCTCACCCTTCAGCTAGAGCAGACTGCGAAGCAGAAATGAGCTAGCTGAAGAAGATCACTGGTGTAAGTTTCCAGTGAAAGGGATGGGCAGTTTGCCTTTTTTGTTCTCTTTAATCAAAAGTAACGGAGAACATCCCTGCTATCCCTAGCAGCTTCTCCCACCTTCCATTTTCTATGCCAGCATGGGGTTTGTTTCCAAAGGGAGTAAGGAAATGATGATGTCCTGTGCCATCCCTGAAGAACTGTTTATTTCTGCCAGCAAGCACAACGCAGAGATTACCAGAGCCTACGTCTGGCTGTGCAGAACAGGCTACAGTGCTTCCACAGCCAGCTCACCACTGTAGGTGCAAACCTTCTCTGCAGAGAATGAAAGGAGCGCTAGGGGCTCTCGACATTTCACCGAGCAGGAAACCCTCCTTAGCTGCAGCATCAAAGGCCGTTTGTTTCTGCAGCTGCTGTCATGCACCGAGTGCTCCGGTGGCTGCTGTCAGCAGCTGTCTGAGCATCACCCAGAGCGTGGCCAGCGGGGGCAAAGACCGATTGACCAGAAAGGGGAAAGGCAACCCAACTCACCTCAGTGTCCCAAACTGGTACTCTTCTTCCTCCGAGTCGCTGGGAATTTGTGTTGGTAAAAACCATTCCCTGGCTACAGCTGCTGTTGCCCTAAAACTCAGGGTGGAGGTTCCCTGCTTTAAACTCCCTTTTTTTCCTGAAGAAAACTCTCCTGGGGGACTTAAAACCCTTTTCTTCCTAGTGAGCTAACTCATTAGGGTACGCCAGGCAGTAAATTGAGTGCTGACTGCATAGGCCACATCTCTGAGGAAAGAAAAACACACTCTTCCCCCTTCCCAGATGTCTTATTATTTCCCAGAAGATGTGCCCACACATGGCTGCATTCCTCACTCAGCTCATGTT